AAGATCAAAAAAGAGAAAGTCTCAGAAGAAAGAAGATCCAGGTGCGCGAGTAGGTAGGAAAGTCGCGAAACACTGTGTTTTTCCAATGATTTGTGGCTCCGCAGGGTCGAAAAGTAGGCTCGCTAAAGCGGCGAGTGCGGAGCCCGCTGGGCAGATGAGAGATGAAAAGTTGCACGACGTGGCACGAAGCACATTTCCAAGTCATAATGTACAAAACACACCAGGTTCGGACCACTTTTGGAAGTTGAGTTGAGATGTCGAAAAAATGCACGCCGTTGTGGCGCGAAGCACGTTTCCAAGTCAAAATGTACAAAACACCTCAGCTTCGGAGCACGTTTAGAAGTTGAGTTGTCGAAAAAGTGCATGCCGTTGTGGCGCGAAGCACATTTCGAAGTCAAAAGTGTAAAAAACTGTGGGGTACAGAGCGTTTTCAGGGAGCTGAATTGGAGCTCCGGGCTTACATCGATACTCCACTTGGAGGCTACGCTCCGGAGAAGTGGTTCCGCTGGATTCAGCAGTGCAGAGACGGCATTTATCAGGACAGCTCCGACAGCCCAGCCTGGGATGAGAAGGTGACAGAGGAGTTGGGAACCCAGGCAATCCTTGACATTGCGGAACTGACCAGGCATGGTTTTACCCGCAATTGTCCAGTCGACGGGCCTTCTTCTGCCACATCGACCTGAGGAAGTAGTGGCTCAGAACCGCCGCCCCGCGGACATCTTCCTGCCCAGTCTCCACGGTACACCTGCTGCCCTTGACCTGGCCATCATGGCCCCACAGCGGCAGGATATCGTGGCGCAGGCAGCAGGGGCAGCCCTCGCGGCGGCCTCGGCCTATGCGGCCACCAAAGCCTCACTTGAACACTGCCCACCTCTGCGGCCAGCAAGGGTGCGCTTTGTTCCCATTGTGGCCGAGTCGACAGGAGCTTGGGACCGTGAAGCTGGACAGATCCTCTTGCAGATAGCTTGCAGTGCCGCTGCTCGAACCGGTGATGCAGCTTCGACATCAGTGCTTATCCCACGTTCAGCCCCATTTGGCTATGACCTGGAGGAGGAAGACGCAGCTGGCATTGAGTCGGCAGTTGCTGGGCTCGTGCGAGATGGTGGACCCAAACCGGTCTGCTAGTTCTTGACTAGCTCCGGAAAGGCAGCCAGGTGATCTTGATGGCCCGTTTGAGGGCCTCATCGGGTTCATTTGGGAATATTCCGCTGAGCGGAGCGCTGCTAAACTGAGCGGCATCCTGAATCGGATCGGTCAAGGTCCAAGTGACAAAGTTCACTGGCATGTCGAATGTCTGCCGGGTGCTGGCACAGCTCGAAGGTACAAAGTGCCCCTCGAATTTGCTGCTGAATCCCCTTTTGGGAAGCACCCACAAGTTCGCGCAATTTTCGGTTTCACTTTTTCTCTGGTGCCAGAACATGTGGTACAGTTTTTCACCTTTTGTGGCCTTCACCGTTGTTCGGATGATAGAGAGCTGGTGGAGATTTTGCATGAGATTGGTAGCTGGGCCATCAGGCATGCAGAAGCTTTGGTCATAGGGGCATAAGGGGGGGGTCTGTGGACCGGGGGCAACTGTCGAGGTCAGTTTGAGTAGGATCTGAGTTGCTATGTTCACTCAAAATCCACTCAAATCCTACTCAAAATCCACTCAAATCCTACTCAAACCATAAAAACGATAGATTGAGGTGGTTTTGAGTAAGCACTCTTGCCTCAACCGGACCCCAAACCGTAAAAAACCTCAACCGTAACTCAAAGAAAAAAACGAACCTCAACTGAGGCTCAGCGTAGGCTCAGCCCACACTCAGCTGCGGCTTAACTGGTACTCAACGTATACTCAACGCATACTCAACTGATACTCAAACGTATATCACTGACTCAACCGTACCTCAGCCACACCTCAACCGTACCTCAAAGTCATTTTCTCAACACTTGCCCACGGCCAACTGCCCCCCCCCTAGCCATTCTATGATTTGGTGCCGTTTGCACGCAGCTGGCTTGGGGACACGTCCCTGAGCTCACTCCCATTGAGCTACAAGCGGAAGGTGAGCAGTGGTTTGGTGGAACTCTGCCTCCTGGCATGACCCCTGAGGGGCATACCGCCTGCCACGGAACATTTATCTTTGCAGATCCTCGTCAAATGTCCCACGCCTGCCATCGTTTTTGGACATGCTACAAAACCCTCACGTTTTATCACGTTTTGCTCACTTTTGACAAGGTGCACAATCCCTTGCGAAACCACATCTGAACGTCCAAAAACCCTGAGGCAGCACAGTGGCACTCAACCTGCGAGCCTTCCATTCCTCATTCTTGTTGAATAGAAGGTAGCCAAGCCTCCTCTCTTTCAAGTCCCATTCCAGCTGGTGCTGTGCAAAGCGCTGGAAGGACATGGGGTCAGCCAGCGATGCAGACACCTTCGTGGACCTGGTCCCAGCGAGCTTGCCGCCCCCTTCGGATGAGGCTGCTGTCGTCACAACGCTGGGCCAACTCCACAGCTCCGCGTACGGAGCCTTCTTCTTGAACTGTGGCACGTGCGAGGCCAGTCTTCCTGCTAAATCTTGCCTACCAAGCTGGTCCCAAGTCCGAAAGCGGTAGGTAGGTAGATAGACAGATAGACAGATAGACAACTACAACTACCATTGCGCTACACAACTGCTACAACTACAAATACAAATATACTACGCTACATTACACTACACTTATTACACCACACTAGATTAATTACATCTATATAAATACACTACGCTACACCAATTACACCAACAACAACAACAACAACTACTACTACCACAACTACAACTACATTTACAACTGCGCTGCACTACGCTACACTAATCACACTGCAGCACACTACAACTACAAATACAACTACAACTACAACCACTCTACATTACACAACACTACACTACACTGATTACATGGTATTACGCTACAGCTACAACTGCAGCTGCAGTTGTAACTGCAACTATAGCTACCACTACAGTACTACACTACACATACTACACTACACTACACTGCATTACACTACACTACACTACACTACATTGCACTACACTACACTACACTACACTACACTACGCTACGCTACGCTACACTACACTACACTGCACTCATTACACTGCAGAACGCTACAACTACTACACACTACCCTACACTAGGCTACACTACACTATACCACACTACACTACACAACACTACATTGCATTACATTACACTACGGCTACAACTCCAACTGCAACTACAACTAGAATACGCTAGACTGCGCTGCACTACACTAACTACACTGCACTGCGACTACAACTACACTACTTTACAATACACCACGCTAGACTACACTACACCATACCACACTACAGCACACAAGACTGCAACACACTACACGACACCACTAATTACACCACACCACAACTGCAACTGCAACTACACGACACTAATTACACTACATCACTACTACAGCTCCGCTACACTACACTACAACTACAACTACAACTGCACTACGCCACACTACATCCAGCAGTTGTGATGAGGTGATCACTGCAACCATTGCAACCACTCCAAAAACACAACTCCAACCACCTTTCGGTCCATCAGTGGATTCGCTCTGCCATCCATGATTCACAGCAACTCACCTCTCCTATAGGTTTCTTATTTTTGAAGCTTCCGCCACCGCCTTGTGCGGTACTACTGGTAGACTACTTTGCTTTCAATGATACTGGGCGACGCTTTCCAATACCTGTTTGATCCTTTTTGCGCTTGGCGCCGCTGAACTTACAAATCAGGTTTTGTTGTTTCACATTTGACACGATGAATGGTTACAGCGCCTTTTGTTACTCTGCATTTCCACTTCGAAAAATCATCAACATGGTGGATTCCCTGGTTTTTATGTTTGCCGTGAATTTACATAGAAATCACATCTAGCTACATCCTGCCATGTTCGAAGATGTTTCCAGCAGAGTATCTGAGATTCAGCAAGAAAACCACCTGCGACCTGACGTGTCTTTAACTTTGTTTAAATCTTCCAAGAGTTTCCATTGCCAGACCCAGGAGGGGCTTGCTAAGGGATTGTACAGACTTAGACGCGCTCCCAGTTACTGCCGACCTTGCACAAACCTCAGAGGCGTCTCACGCCGCGAAAATGTCGGCGCCATGCGGATGGGCACTGCGTTTTGTGGACACTGTTGCCATGTAGAAATTCGAATCATGGGGGATCCACACGGATATCATCATCCCATCATCCCTAATCGTAAATTTATTGTCGGGTATACGGTATGCCCCTACATGGGATGATTCAGGATGATTTGGGATAACCCCCAAGGCGTTGATATTAAGGGTGGTCATTTTGGTCCAGTCCACATTTAAGTTGGAATCACTTTGTTGATATCCCTTTGGAATCAACACGTTTTTCAAAAAATCCTCTGAATTCGGTGGTTGGTTGTGAAAAAACATGGTTTCACTGCAGCAGATTTTTCTGTGTCCTCATTCGCGGGCTGGGGTTTTGGGGATCGTTGGGATCACCATGGTGCAACTCATGTGGTAAACCCAATAATGAACCCCCATTTTCGGATGGTTTGTACCCGCGCCAAGATTATGGATGGTTTGGGTTTACCATGGTTTACCACATTAGAAATGTGAAAATATGTGAAATTGAAGGATTTCGATGGATGTTGTCAATGAGTGTTTTATTGCTGTTCATTGCTTTTCCATCCCTATGTGAGATGTTTTATTGCATCAGTTTGCATCCTCATTTCCGAGTACTCCAGGACAGCAGTAGCATGGCAAGGGCGAAATCAGCATTGTCAAATGGATCCAGACGGACACATCATCTACATGTAGGTTATCTTCCATGCCTGGTGAAAGGAATTGAAAGGACTTGTGAATCTATGAGAATCTAGCAGTTTCATCCAGTTTACCCAACTGCTCCATTTCCAGATACTCATGAACATTTATCAACATTTATCCCAACAAACCCTTGCCATTTTCATCATTCCAAAGATTGATCTGACAGGTCCACCTTCCGCACTTCCACTTCCAGCGCGATGCCGGGGAGCCCATGATTTTGATCGTTCGAATCAGTCGATTTTCATCATGGTTCTTCCATTATTTTCAATGTTAGTTGAAGACATGGAATTTCATGGAATGAACGTTAGTACAGTAGATGTTATTAGTATTTTGCTGTGAACAGAATGGTATGGTGGCTGAAACTATCTCAGCCAGCTCCGGACATGGGATATCCATGGATATCCCATCATCAAAGCCCATCATTTGTAGATCATTGTCCAAGGGAAACGCAGTGGGTTTTCCATAGCAAAATTAAACGAAACTGGGCCGCCATGCTGTCACAGTCTATGAGCCGAATTTGCCGAATAGCCCGGTTCACTGAGTCATTGGGTACTGGTATGGGGACAAGGTTACCTGTATAATCCTGTATTCCTACACCAATGTTCATCAATGTACTTGAAGTTTGTTGACCTACCTTCTGTCTCACTGGACTAATTGACCATTACAATCAGCTGTCGGAATTTATGTGTACCTCACCATCTTGGGTTCAAGCCTCCATTTTTCCTGGGTCGCCTCTCCGAGGAATATGGGCATGCCAACAATGAAGGCCCCCGGAAACGAAAGTGGGAAGCCCAGGAAGCCCATCCGCGGCCGACTGAAGACCCTTGGAAGGACCCGATGGAGGATTGAGGATATTGAGGTTGAGCCATGATTCGCATCAAATATGGATAGTTTTTTGATTCGGCCGTCCTGGGATTTTCAGAAACGCCACCAGGTGATCATCCAAGACACAAAAAAAATCGCCAAAACTCATTGAGTCGGTTCATGAGGGGCGTTCCCAATCCTTTGAGTCTTCCATAGATTGGTGTCACCCATACATGGTCCAATTGTCTCCAAGTTTTAACTACATATATGGCCCGTATAGTCCTGTTTTTTTAAAAACATGTTTAAAATTCCCAGTGGACAATCCACCATGACTGTGGAATCCAAAGAGGGTCTTTGGGAGGGGAATGAGTGGTGACTGCAGAGGTGATAATCCTGATGCTCCATATATACCCAGGATGGTTCATATGGCGATTTTTAGTACATCGAACTAGAATCCGTATTTGCAATTTTACTATATATTTTACCAATATAATAAAGTATAATACTGTATATTAACATACCCGATACAGTAGCTAGCTTCAAGGTTTACGCACATGAGCTGATCATTGCTGGAGCCCAAAAACAGGACACCGATTGGCGCGATGGACGCGACGACTGGTTCGATGGCCGTCCACAGGCGGACGGGACGCTGAAAAAACTCTGTGTGAAATTGGGAGATTACCCGAAATGATCATTTATACATAGGATGATTATCTAATGGATATACCTTAAATTATCTAATGGATGTCCATATAGATACAATATACAATATTATGGTATCCATTATACATAGGATGATACCTTAAATTATCCAATGGATATCCAATGATACGCATTTATAAATAGGATAATATCATTTATTAGCATTTTAAGGATAATCTAATGGAGCCAATTTTCAGAGCCAAGTGGTCCTTTTGGCTTCAGCGCTGGGGTTTTGCAGGTTCATTGTCATTGGTTGAAATATGGCACATCCTACACATGCCACTGATAGAATCACCCAATAAATGGAGGACATCAGTGACCATTTACTGGCAGAATACTCAAATGAACAGTGCACACAGCGACGTACCACTTGCACAAGCATCAGGTGTTGGTGTAGCAAGTGCTTTGTCTTGACAGTACTTGCAAGCCCTCAAAGTTCCTTGCTACAACCAGGTTTGTCTGAGAATGGGAATACGCATAAATTGCCATCATATTACATACGTAATTATACATATATATATATACACATATGCATTATATATACACAATGGAAAATCATTATTAATCATCAAAGTCGTTTTTTAACAGATACACATAATATTAGAACATGCAACTGCTGCCGGTCACAACTGGTACTTCCTCAGCAGCTCTGTACGCTGAATATCCATGGGTTGTCGTTGGTTTTATTATCTGCAATATTCATGAGCCCAAACTTTCAAAGGGTAGTCACCTTTTGGGGTTCTCCAGGTATATCCCATGATTTTGCCATTCTTCTCGCTTTCATATCACCCATTTTGTTGCTTCAAAACTTAGAGTTTAGAAAACTCCAAGTTCGACCATCCCTGAAGTTATTGATACGTGAACAGTGGCTGCTAAACCCGTGCTGGTTGAAGATTATACAGTATGGATTATACTCGTACTACCCATTTTTTTTTGGATTGTCATAATCCAGTATTGGAATCCCTATAGACAGGATTAAACAGGCAGTACAATAAAGGGACAACAGAGGCTTTTTGAACACTGCTCAATGGACACACATGGTTTGTGAGTGGATAGAACCTGTAAGCCACTTGCAACTTGGGTGGTTCTTAGGTTTGAATCATTCACTGCAAAATTTATGGGGTTGTCTCATAGTTGTGTACCCCATCCCATGGCTGGTCATCAACATGTCCAAAAACATTAAAATGTATCATTGAGTTTCCAATAATGTCAACCCTGGATTAGTAAACCCCAAACGGCTGTTTAATTGGGAGGGTACCATTTAAGTACCATATTATGACTATTGGAGGAGTACCCCCCTAATTAATAAACCAGGGTTTATTAATCCAGGGTTGACATTATCCAACCTGTTTGGACAAATCCATATTTGGGTCTCTAAGAAAATGGAGTAGCAAAAAACCCACTGTTTGATCATTTCATTTCCCCATATTTTCCCATTGACAATTGCCAGAACAACATGGATGCCCTGGCACCCTTTGCGCAGGTCCGCAACTGGGAAGAAGACTGGTCTGTGACCCCAGAAGCTGGGAAAACCGAGTCAAAATCCTCGAAATCAGAGGGACGACCCCCCACCAAAAGTGGTTTTATCATGTTTCTTTAAGGGAGAAATACGACAAGGTCAGGTTTTTATTTGATTTCTATGACGCTAAAGGCATTAGTTGGTGTTGATGGGATGCGGGAATTGATATGTTGATACACAATGATACACATACATATACATACACGCTGTACAATATCTTACAATTACCATGTTTAGTGTTATATATGTATATACTACACCTGCCATAGATTTGAATCCACACTTTCTATATAAACGCATAAGTCCACATGGAAACAACGGTGTGTTTCTCCGTGCTGAGGGAAGGGCCTCCTTCAGAACGTCCCGCGGGGATGAAGGTGCTCGGATCCAATCATTTGGGTATCCATTTGATGGTCACCATCCAATGATTTGGGTTTTAAAATGCTATAAAATGATATAGTTAAGCATGGAGAGTGACGAATCATTTTCGCGGACACTTTTGATGTTTTTTGGAGTCTTTCAAGGCAATCACAGGAAAACAATGAGTTTTGCAGATCATTGTAATGTCCAAAACGATGCAATGCACATGGTGCAGTAGCCTTCGTTCGAGCACTTGTGTTTGAGACGATAGCTGGTTTCAGGGTGTTTCTTTAAATGTGGGAAACCTAATGCCATAAACCTACCAGGTATAGGGACGATGGTTTCTAGCACCCATCATTGGGTGATTGGCTGCTGCTCGGGGTGATGCTGTTTGACTGAATCGCATAGTATTTTCGGTATTTTGAGGTGCTTCAACCTGGTTTACCACCCCCACAATGGCTGGTTTACCAAATGAATCTATGGCAAAATGATGCAAAATGTGGAGGTTTAAGTGCCCCAAGTTTCCACCCAGATCTGGCTGCCACCCGAGATTTTCAGCGATGCTCCCGGATGATGCTCCTGTAGCCTCCAGTAATTTTACAAGCATCATATCGCTACGGTATCGCCATGGGCCATTTGCTTCGATGATGGCCAGTGGTTTCCTCAAAGCATCCAGTGGTTTCCGATTGGAGCTGTGATGTGTGAGGTGATGAAAGAATCAAAGACCATTCGAGCATTTGTCATGCAATATCATGACGGGGTTGTGAGACACAAGGACATTTTGATAGTTTATATTAAATATTAGTTTATAATAGTTTATATATAAATATATATACAATATAGATTCTAATTTCCCTATACATAGCCATTTTGGAGGTATCCCCCATTTGCAGACACACCCATATATAACCAACACCTTCTTCGACCATCTTCGACTCGCATAGCCATAACCGTCCCTCCAGATGTCCGGCGGCATCTTCGCACGCGCGATGGCGCGGAAACCTGGTGCTCCATGGTGCTCCTTATATACTCTCTGGTAAACGTACAAAAAAATATGGAAAATCACCATTTTAAATGGGAAACTCAACTATTTCGACTGGGCCATTTTCAATAGCTATGTTAGTTTACCAGAGGGTATATGTATGGTATATGGTATCTCTAGAACCATGACTGGGTGAAATTCCAAATCAGCAGGGAGCGGGAATGGGTAGGAATTGGGATCTGCCAGCGTCAGACATGGGGATAGATATATAAATTATGTCTTGAAGCCAAATTTAAACTACCCCCCATTCAGTTGAGCAGAAATGGGTAGGCTTTTTGGAAACCAACCCGTAAGCTGGGTGGTCAAGATGAGTTTCTGAAATAATTCTAAATTGGTTCAGGTTCCGCTTGGGCCCAGCAACTCTCTAGGACTCTAGGCGGTTCTTTTGAAAGACTGGTGAAATCTCATTGCATCATTGCATTGGACATGGATGATGTTGTCTCATGGTTTCCGCGTTCAGCACCTGAAAGACAATGCAAGTATTTGTGAGGTGGGTTAAAAATGACTAAGCCACCGTTGGTTTCAAGGGGCTACCTGGAGCTGTGTGATCGCAAACAGGTGACCCCACATATTTTTGGCGCATATTTTTAAATATAATTGTTAATATGATTAAATTAATATACATATATACATATATCTTTACATGTGTTCACATACGCTTACATCTGCTTAACTCAAAAAAAAACCTTCGTTGGGTCAGACGTCACTCACAAGGGTCAGACATTTTCGACGCAGGGCGCCATTGTGCGCAAGGATGAGGACGATGGAAGGTGGGCGCCATGGGGTTTCCATCAATGGGGGATACCCTCTGGTAAACGTACAAAAAACCATGGAAAATCACAATTTTTAATGGGAAAATCAAATATTTCGACTGGGCCATTTTCAATAGCTATGTTAGTTTACCAGAGGGTACCCCAAAAGCTGTATTGTGGTTTTTCGTTCATGGAAATTCCTATTTTATCATGTATGATGAAATGGGGTAACCCGATGACTTAGGAAACCTCCATTTTTTGAAATGATAAGGGTGATGGTGATAACATTTAAAACCCCATAGTTTGTTGGGATATAATATCACCACTTAGTATTCCAATGGATTACTATGCGACTATTACATACTATTACTCTGACGATATGATACAAATATGAGCCACTCATGAAAATATTACAGTACTTACCGATGACTGATATAATCCACCATGGTTTCGTTCAACCCCAAGCTGGGATGGGGGCACTTTTGTTTGGGCCTTGGATGTACAGCAACTGCTGTGTCGCGGCACGTTGTTTTTTCTTGCTGACAAATATGATATATCTTCGTGGTTAAATTTTTGATTTCCTTGGGGATTCACATGTTTCATCATTTTTAGGTTGATTGAATTCTCGCAATCTCCTCTTTGTTTTCCATTCACTAGCCTCACAGGGGGTCAAAATGGATGAGCAGATCCTTTTCCATTCAACAACTGGTTGGTGGTTTGGAACATCTTTTATGACTTTCCATATAATTATTGGGAATAATGATGCCAACTGACTAATATTTTTCAGAGGGATTGAAACCACCAACCAGATGGGCTTGCAATGATCACAAAGGGTAAAACAAATCGGCCCCTCGTTGCTGAGATGGTATCCCTTTGAATCTGGGGCCCAGCCCTGTGGAGGTCCACCAAACGCCCCAGCTGGGCATCTATACAGGAAATGAAAGATAGAACCGTCGTTTTACTGATGTTTGTATATCTATAAATACCGCTAAAGCAAAAACATGTTTATACATATAATGGAACCATACATAAATGAATATGTATTATTAAAAATATGTGGTATTTCTAGTCAGATATGGAACAATGATAAACAAATTTGGAAAATTATCAGAAAGGTAGCACCAGGAAGGGCCGCTGAGCTATAAAGATGATATAGTTGTATATACGTATATATATATATATACACATCTGTATATAAAACTTATATATATATACACTTTACTTTGCATATATACTTATATAATCTTATATATATATGTATGTATGTATGTAATGTAATGTAATGTAATGTAATGTAATGTAATGTAATGTAATGTAATGTAATGTAATGTATGTATGTATGTATGTTATGTATGTAAGTAATGTATGTATGTAATGTATGTATGTAATGTATGTATGTAATGTATGTATGTAATGTATGTATGTAATGTATGTATGTAATGTATGTAGT